TCAAAGTACGAAATTACAGCCAATTCAGGCGAAAAACTTCTCAAAAACTAAAATTTATGGGGTACCGTTGTATGGGGCCTACTAGAAAAAGTGAACCTATATTTATAGTTTTCAGTGGCGAACCCTATAAAAACCCATTGTACCACTTTTTTAACGAATTCGGTGGAAAAACGCGCTCAAGAACCCAAAAAAATACCGAAAAACGAGGAGTACCCCTTTATGAGAACGTCGACCGCTATAGCCCATCTTCGATCTTGACCTGTCTGCAGACAAAAGCAGACTCTATGCAAAATTTTGGTGATATATCTTAATTCGTTTAGAGCCTAGAGCGATTACAACAGACAGGCTCTGATCATGAATATATATATATATATACCTTATAGGGTCGGAAATAATTATTTCGATGAGTTACAAACCGAAAAACACAATTAATATACCCTCCATACTACGGTGGTGGGTATATAAAGACCTTTTGAAGTCTTTCTGAAGGTCATATAAAGGCAGAAGTGCTTCTGAAGCTCTCCTATATGCAGAAGACAAATCTAAAGACTTACAAAGGCCGAAGAGCTTCTGAAGGTCATATAAAGTCAGAAAATTTTCTGAATGTCTTCTATAGGCAGAAGCAAAATCTATGGTGGTATTACAAAGGCAGAAGATCCTCTAAAAGTCCTTTATAGACCTAGAGGACTTCTATATTGAAGGACAATGACAATGTGTTCTAGAGATAGTCTTCATCTTCATGTCTTTTAAAAGCAGAAGACCTTCTGAAGGCATAACCTCTTCAGGTACCTATGAAAGTCATTTGAAGGGAGAAAACCTTATAAAGGTCCCCATATGCAGAAGACATTCAGAAGATATACTAAAGGCAGAAGACCTTCTGAAGGTATCCTATAAGCAGAAGTCCTTCTGAAGGTCTCCTATAGACAGAAGTTATTGTGAAGGTCTCCTAATGACAGAAGACCTTATGATGAGGTGCAGAAGATCAAGGACTTTTAAAGGTCTTCTAAATATGTGTGTTCTAGACAGAATTCATCTCAGTGTCTTCTATATAAAGAAGACCCCTTAAATGGTATTATTAATACACAATCACTTCAGAAGGTCACCTAAAGGCAAAAGACCTTCTGAAGGTCACCTAAAGGCTAGAAAACCTTATAAAATTCTATATGCAAAAAAAAATATGCAGAAGAACTTAATGCCAGAAGAATGTGAGACCTTTATAAGGTGCAGAAGATCAAGGACTTATAAATGTCTTATATATATGTGTGTTCTAGACAGACTTCATCTAAATGTCTTCTATTTGCAGAAGACCTCTTAAATGGTATTATTAATACACAATCACTTCAGAAGGTCACATAAAGGCAGAAAAACCTCTAAAGGTCACCTGAAGGCAGAAAACTTTATAAAGATCTCCTATATGCATAAAACCTTCTGAAGGTCTCCTAATGACAGAAGACCTTATGATGAGACCTTCTAAGGTAAGGTGCAGAAGATCAAGGAGTTAGGAAGGTCTTCTAAATATGTGTGTTCTAGACAGACTTCATCTCAAGTGGTATTAGTAATACACAATCATTCAGAAGGTCACATAAAGGCAGAAGAACCTCTAAAGGTCACCTGAAGGCACAAAACTTTATAAAGATCTGCTATATGCAAAAAACCTGCTGAAGGTCTCCCGTAGGCAGAATACCTTCTGAATGCCTCCAAATGGCAGAAGACCTTACGATGAGACCTTCTAAGGTAAGGTGCTGAAGACCAGGGACTTATAAAGGCAGAATACCTTCAGAAAGTCCTAGACATAGAGGTCTGCTATATACACAAAATTCCTATTAAGGTTCCCTATAGATAGACGATCTCTCAGGTTCTTCCATAAACAGAAAGTGTCGTAAATCCTTCAATAGACAGAAGACCTTTTGAGGGCTACTACGGATCTATCCAAGTCGTCTATAAGTAGAAGGTCGCTTCAAAGTTTCCTGTAGATATATGGCATGTAAAGGACTTCTATAATTTATTTAAAATAAATTATAGAAGTCATATTGAATTTTGAGATTTTCATAATTTATCCAGCATATATATTTTTAGATAAATTACAAAAATCATCTATTATCGTAAAATATCTCATTCGATAATTTTTCTTACAAATTTTCTTCCCTCTCTAATGTACATTGTATCCATGTGAAATATACAGGTGTACGTGTGCCTCTTCCTATATTTTATCTTTATGTCAAATCTGTCATTGTTGATGCTGTTGTTGACATATGTGCATGAGTAGTATATGTGTGTGTGTCTGTATGTATTTATTTATGTACTTTTAATATGAAATATTGTAAATATGTGAGACGGCTATATTGCTTTACTATTTATTTATTTATCATGGGTTTTGTTTTGTTTTTATTTAAAATCAACCTCACACAATGGCTGACTGGCTGCCTGGCTGGTCGGCCATCCGAATGTTGGTGTTGATCATGGTCAGCAGAGCTATCAATGATCACGTCGTCTAGTCAACAACAGCATGACAAGATCATGCTAAAAAACAAAGTTGTTGCTCCTGTCGTCATCATCACGATCATCAACAACAGCAGCAGCAGTATCGTCAACATTGTCGGGTTGGTTGTGTGTAAGTGTTTCACTGAGCATGCGCACAAGTGTGACACACACTCGCACACTCACATGAGGCTTATGGTAGCCTTTCATGACAATTCATGGGTGGTAATATAGGCCTGATAATGATCGTGATCATGATGACGATGATGAAGATTTGATTTATTTGCATATTTCTACAGTTTCAAAAACACAAATATTTATTTTCCATTTAGCAAAATTTATACACAGTTACATGTGTGTGTGTGTGTAAACACAAGAAGCTGTCTTCCATACTCTTCAATGGTGGGGATTTCATTTTTTGACTTGGCCATCGTCATCGTCATGAAGATGGCATCGTTTTACACCACCATTGATCTTTGAGATCAATAAACTATTGAAAGCCAAATTAAATTGTAGTTGCTCATGGTGGTGCTGTTGTTGTTGGTTTTGTTTTTAAATATTTATATTGTTGTTGTTGTCATTGGCTACTTGAATGTATTACAAGAGTATCAGGTTTTTTGACTGGAAGAAAAACAAATCTGTGGAACTCAAGAGGTGGAGGTTTTTTCTTGTATTTCTATTATTTTCAAGCAATAAGCAGGGGCGTGGGAGGTGTTACAGGGGGGAGAGAGAAAGTTCTAAGAAATTATACATTTCTAAAAGGGGTTCCTATTCCAATTAATATATATTTTTCAATTATTAACAAAATATTTTCCTTAAAAAATATCGATTTGTAAAGTCTCTCAAGCCTACGCCCCTGCTATCCACCTCCTTTGTCAATTGTCGCTGTTCGAAAATTTCTTCTGTGACCACATGTCCATTTAGTAATCATTTACATTTTACAATTTAATTACCGATGCTCACCTCACATCTTGTCTAGGCAAATTGCATTCCAAAAGCCCGCCACAGCCAATCTACATCCTCCATGCCATCCCATCGTGTCGATGCAGATCCCTTTTTGTATCGATGGCCATTCCAATTTGGTCTCTTGTGATTATGACATTAATTGCAATGGCATTTGCATATTTGAAAGTGTTCAATTTAATTTGTAAATGGCCGTGTAAAATTTAAGTAGTAGTTTAAGAAGAAGAAGAAGAAGAACAGAGGGTTTTTTTCTGAGGAACGACAATATTGTAAATAATTTTAAAGAGGATCTGAAAGGGAGGGAAAAGGGTTTGTTATTGATTAAAGGTAATTTTTAAATACTTTAAATACTCGTTATACACAGAAGACTCTGAAATTAATGGGTTTTAAAGTGTCCCCTATATAGATAAGACTTTTTTATATAGAGAATATTAGCCCTCAGAACATACACCTTCGAAAACATATCTATACGGAACACGTTTAAATAGGGGGGGGGGGGGGTATGGCTTTCTAAATGCATACCTTATATCACTGCCACTTGGAAAAGCCTTTTATATACCGAAAAAACTCGCCAGAACCTTTATGGGGTAAACATTTAACGAAGTATTTTCTAATAAAACATACGAATCTCTCAGGCCCTTTCAAGAGACGTCTATATATAGAAGAGATTTCAAAAGATTTCTTCAGATCGAAGATCAGTAATACGATTTTTATCTTATTTGAAGAGATTTTTTATATACCAAAAATTCATCAGGACCTTTAAAGCCTAATAAAAATTTGAAAACTTTCCTACTTACGCAAAAAGAGGACCCTTCTGGGATCGAAGGTCCTTCAGAATGCATATTTTATTATGATTTTTTATCAGGACCTTTTAAATACAAAAGAAAATTTATTTAAAACCTCATCTTTCAAAATGCATATTTAAACAGGGTTATTCGGTGTAGACCGATTTCTGATATCACTTGATACGTTTCCAACAGGCAGGCCATTTCATTTATATGATTTGTAATATTACTGGAGTGAGAGAGAGACAGAGAGAGTTAAAAGGTAAAATATAGATCCGCACCTTTGTCTCCTTCTTCCTGATTTGTAATAAAGAGGCAAAAAAATCTTTCAGAAGCCCTTAAATTAACGAAATGTCCTTTAAATACAAAATTCCGTAAGACCAAAATCCATTGAAATAAATGTTATCAATATGGATACAACCTTCGAAAATTCGAAAATGTCCTTGAAAATCTTTCCTGAAAACATTTAAAAAAAAACTTGTTCAAAGTTTTCCTTCCAGGTATAATAAAAACTTCTATATCAAAAATCTCTAAAGTGTTTTCTTTTGTCTGAATGCTTTTAGCATAACAAAGGTCTCTTCAAAGGTCCTTTCAGGGATCTTGAATATAATTTCATCTGAATTATAGATACATTTGTATTATTATATAAAGGTCCCAAGGGCCTTCGAATCGGTCCTTTCAGGGGGTTCTGAATATAATTTTATTTGTTTTATATATTTTTTGTCAGTATATATTTTTTAATTTAATAAAATCTTTCCATTTTTTTCTTTCCAGAAAATATAACAATAGTCGGCCGCCCGGATTTTGTGAACAACAATTTCAAAATAGCCCTGTATGCAAAGGAAACACAAAGGTACCTGTGTTTCAACGATCATTGGAAACTAGTTGGAATGGTAAGTTTTTGGAAAATAAATATTAAATACCCAATCCTGCCTTAATGAGCCCAAATGAACATTTTCTTTAAAAAATCCCTGGATTAGGAAATATATTTTTTTAAAAATAATATATTTGAGGGAACCTTTGCTGTGGGACCTGCATAATATTGATAGCTTTTGGCAGGGAGATTTTCAAACCAATGGAAATCAAAAATACCAATTTACAACTTTTTTGGATGAAAATAAAACTGTTATTCTATAGAGTACAGGAAATAAATTATAACAATTGGGCGCCATTTCTTCTATTTCTTGTAAAATCGACCTTTCATTCTATAGAGTACAGAAAATAAATTATAACAATTGGGCGCCATTTTTTGTATTCTTTCGATTGGAGCTATAATTACAAGTTAGGGATTCAGCTCCTTACATCCTAAAACATAAATTCAAAGAATACCATATTCCCACTATTCTATTAAGCAAAAAATTTAATCATTCTGCTGGTTAGAGTAGAGTCCTGATGACCCTGAAAGTTCCTCCATCTTTTTCGAGAATTATTAAAGTACATTAATTTTCTCAAATCCCTAAAAAAACAATCATATGACCATACACAAAACAATTGGGCGCCATTATCCCTCTGAAAATCCCTTATAGACCTAGAGGACTTCTATATTCAAGGTTTTCTATAGACAATGTGTTCTAGAGACAGACTTCATCTCAATTTTTTATCTATAAGTAGAAGACCTCTTAAACGGTATTCTTAATACAGAAGACATTCTGAAGGTCTTCTGAAGACAGAAGCACTTACAAAGGTCTTCTGAATACAAAAACACCACTGAAGATCACCTAAAGGCAGAAGACCTTCTGAAGGTATCATAAATGTAGAAGACTAAGGATTTATAAATGCAGAATACCTTCTGAGAGTCCATTATATATAGTGGACTTCTATACACAAGGTCTTCTATACCCCAAAAAACTACAGACAGATGACTTCTCAAGGTCTTCTATATACAGAATATCACGTACACGTCTTTAACATATAGAAGACTTTTTGAGGTTTCTATATGCCAATATAAAATTTTGCACAAATATATACCAATAACATTCAAATTCACCAGTAGAATATCCGTTGTCTTTGAACGTTTACAAAATTGTTATCGATTGGGCGCCATAATTACATATTATATAACGATTGATCCCAAAATCACCTAACGTATAAAATAAGTTGTCTCCATAATCATAGCTGCGAAAATATATACCAAAAACTTAATTCAATCGTAATCGTAGGAATATCAGATATCTTCGAAGATATAAAACAAACAAAACAATTGGGCGCCATTGTCATATTTGCGAAAATATATATCAAAAACTTGATATTCCAAGGGAAATATAAAACAATTGGGCGCCATAATTACATCTTTTCTAACGATTGATCCCAAAGTCGCCTATGTTCAAATTTATTTTATGGAGTTCAGATTTCTTCGATGTCATAAAAAAACTGAAAACGATTGGTCAACACAATTAAAACTCCTTTAGGCTAAAATCACCTATATCCAAAGAATTATCACATGTGCAAAACCTTACAATTAAAAGAACAAATATTAGATTTCTTCGAACCTATAAAAATGCTAACGATTGGGCGCCATAATTACAACTTCTATAAAGATTGATTCCAAAAATCACCTGTATACAAAACAATTGGGCGCCATTATCATACGAAATTACAATGATCGCCATACCAAAACCATAAAAATCAACAGAAGAATATCAGATTCATTCGAACCTCTTCTGAAACGAATGATTCTAAAACTACTTATATGCAAAACAATTGGGCGCCATTATCACATTTGCGAGAATATATACCAAAATCCTGATCTAATTTCACAGACTGATATCAGCATTCTTCGAATCCATAAAAAATCTTATCGGTTGGGCGCCATAATTAAATGTTCTTTATCAAAATCGTCTTTATATAAAACAATTGGCCCTCATTTCTTAAAATGTATACCAAATACCTAATGCAATTTCATGGAAAAATGTCAGATTCCTTCAAAACATTAAAAAATTTTTAAACATTGGGCGCCATAATTACATTTACTTTGACTAAATCGTCTCTACACATAACAATTGGGCGCCATTTCGAAAATATATACCAAAATCCTAATTCAATTCCGTAAAGGAATATAAGATTTCTTTTAACCCATAAACAATTTTAACCATTGGGCGCCATAATTACATTTTCTTTAACCAGTGACCCCAAATTTCTGATAAGACTTTGATAAAGGCTATACGGGTAATTGGAGGGTTGGTCTTCAATTTTATCGTCGAAGAAAAAAAGGATATTTGTTTTCGACGGTTTTTGATATTTTTTCCGCATCAGTGAGAGTGAGTGGGAGTAGTAATTTGAGGTTAAAATTTTAAGATGAGGGGTCAAGTGTTTCATTGAATTTGAAATATTATGAATAGATTTAGCAGGTCATAAAATAGGTTATAGGTTAAAGCAATGCCATAAATCTGTGTAATAAATGTTCAAATTCAACGGAGCACTTAACCCCTCATCTTTCATTTTTAACCTCAAATTACTCCTTCCACAGATTTTCGCTGATGCGAAAAAAAAATCAAAAACAAAATATCCGTTTTTGTTTCTTCGACGATGAAATTGAAGACCAAGCCTCCCCCACCCTTATACCCTTTATCAAACATATCAAAAGTGTTAACGATTGGGCGCCAAGTATATATAAAAAAATATATAAAACAATTGGGCGCCATTTATGAAAATATATACCGAAATCCTAATTCAATTCCATGGACAAATATCAGATTTCTTCGAAATTTCAGATTCTTCGAAAATGTTAACAATTGGGCGCCATAATTACATTTTCTTTAACCAGTGATCCCAAAAAACGTTTAAAATCGTAACATTATGGCCTGACCTTAAATAACCTATTTTATGACCTGCTAAATCATGTCATAAATTTTCAAATTCAATGAAGCACTTGAAACCTCATCTTTCATTTTTAACCTCAAATTCCTCCTCCTCCCACAGATTTTCGCTGTTGCGGAAAAATATTAAAAATCTTCCAAATAGAAAACAAAAGATCCTTTATTTTTTCTTTGGTGATGAAATTGAAGACCAAGCCTCCACCCACCCTTATACCCTTTTATAAAACTTTTATCCGAGAAGAAAATATTGCAAATAATAGCAACAAAACAATAGCTTGTCATGCCATTGCCCTAATCTCTTAAAAAACCGCACACACACCCAACAACAAAGGCAGTGTGAGATTTTCTTTGAAGGGTTTGCCATGCAGAAGGGTACCGAAGGCTGCTGGTCCATGATAGCCCAATTGTTTTAAATTATAGAGATTACGAAAAGTCTGTAACAATAAGGACTGATTTAAACGGGAAGGCTGTCTTAGGAAAAATAAGGATGGCGGAAGAGAAAAAAGGCTAGATAGTCCTCCCACTTCTCCTACTCCTCCTATGTGAAAACTCCCCATTCATTAAATGTCCAAAATTTTGTTCAGTGTTTTTTATTATTTTTTTTCCCTTTTTACTTCTGTATTGTTTTTTTTACTCAAGATTTTGAACTTCAACCTTGCCCTTTTAACCTCCTCCTACCCTCTCACCTCCCCACCCTCCTTAAATATCGATGAACGTTTCATTAAGTGTGAACATTTATTGATTTGTTCCTGCATTGATTTTTTTTTTTTTGAAATTCAATCATCCGAACTTCCACTCCCTATTCTTTTGGTTTTTAATTCCCCCCTCACCTTCCCCTCTCCCCTTCTTTTATTACTGCCCCCTCCCCAACATTTTTTATAGTCTTGTGTGTAAATTTTATTGATTTCTGTTCCACTTGAAAAATTGTAACAGAATTTTTTTGTACGGAAAGTAAAGGAGGGTAGTGCGGTTGCGGAAGGGGGTTGGGGGCAGGGTTGGGATATTAAGAAGAGTTGCTTATGTAAACCAAAAACACACACAGAAAATAAAAAATAAAGACAAGTGTTTTATAAATAAACATCGAGGGCATGTTTAATGTCACGCAGGCGCACCAGGGTAGACCACTTTTAATGGCATGGGAATATGGTTCGGAAGAAGCTACACTTCTGTAAGTGTTCTCTTTCTGGATTTTTTGTTTGGATTTTGTAAAGGTTTATTGGGTTTTTGGAAGACTGTGTCTGGCATTGCTCCATTTCTCACCACAACCATCATCATAATCATCAATGTCATCATTAACGGCACATGTTTGGTTCTGGAGGGTTTCACAAATATTTGAAAGAATTTTTTTTATTGAATTTTTTTTTCACATCTCCTTTTATTCTTCTTCTTCCCAATATTTATTTTCTTATTTATTTTTTATTTACAGAAAGAACTCCAAGATACCTGCTATTTCAACGAAGCCATACTACACGGTTATTTCGTATTTCGCTCCGCAATCGATCAGCGACGACGTATCGGCTTCACGCAACGAGGTAGAGCCGTTGGCCCGAAGAAAGTCGTCAACGATGCCTGTTATATGTTTACGAAAATACCAACTGATCAATTTTTCCATCAGCATAATCAATTTTTCCAACAGCAGCAGCAAAGAGCATCCTCCTCAGCGGAGAAGAAGGGCCCATCGGCCTCTGAGGATCATCTGGGTGGCAGTGGTATGGGCCATTTGGGTCGGGGTAGTGGTGGCGGTAGACCCAATCGCCATCGTAATCATGGCAAAAAATCAAAGCTTCATAGCAGTGGTGGAGGAGGAGGCGGTGGCTCTGTGGGCCCCCGTAAACGCCAACATCAGCGTCTGCAACAGATGTCTGGTGCCGGTGGTGGAGATTCCAAAAATAGCACTTACTTAAGTAGTTCTAGGCAACAAAATAATATAGAATTAGGCCAATATGGCGTCGTACATCATAATAATAATAATCATAGCGGTAAACATCATAACCACTCTCAACCTCAGTCTAAGGATCAGCAGGATAAGCAACAGCAGCAGCAACAGCATCATCATCACCAGGCGGCTAGGCATCATCATAGCAGCAGCGGCAGCAACAACGATTCACGTAGACATCATCATTATGAGCAGAAGCAAAAATCCCGAGCGCATCACAGTCGGATGCGTACTAGTCCCTCTACAACAACAACAACAACCACACCAACAGCCACAACAACAACTACACAAATGTCTACAACAACAACTAAAGCCACAAAGCCTCCCAGCAGCAGCACTACCACCACAATTGCTTCCACGCCACTGGCTGATATACCCACTCACTACGAAGCCGAAATTTGGTCGACAGACTCCAGCAAAACCTCGACAACCACCACAACAACAACAACCACGGCAAATCATCTCAGTACCTCCCAGGGCCATAAACACAAGGGCCGCCGAAGAAAGTCGCAACACCACAAGCACGATGGCTTCCACAAAACGCCCGAACATCCCAGTACCCCAACCACGGAGGCTGAGGTTGGAGAAGAGGATGATGCCGCCTATCTTACCACAGATTTCAGCAGCAGCAGCACCTGGACCCAACCCGAGGCGGAACTAAGCAGCATGGCCAAAGATTTCCTCCCAGTGAAACCAACCTCAGCCAGTCTACCCAGCTGGGAGACATGGTATCCCTCGTCCATGGCCACAACATTGGGCGATGTGGAAGAGGTCCCGGTGGCAGATTATACCCTTAGCTCTGTAAGTTATCAGGATGCCAAGAAGCTGGTGGATACAGCTCAAGCCTCATCTCCATTGCCTTTAAATTATGATATAAGTAAGCCACTGCCATATTCCACAACAGCAACTACAACAACAACAACAATGGCCTTTTCTATGGCCAATCATGGAAAATCTGCCGAAGATACCTCAAGGGTTAGCGAAAACCAACAACAAAAGCAGCGACAGGAGGATGAACTAAATAATAAATTTAAATTGCAGTTGGCCGGATCCGGGGCCCCAGAGATTAATAATTCCACAAGTAGCCTAAGTCAAAGTGAGGAGGATTCCAACAGCAGCAGTGGAGGAGGAACTGCTTTGGAAGACGACCCTGAAGATCAAAATGAGGAGGACGATGATGATGATGATGCTGAGGAAGAAGAACATCTTAACCTCACCACAATGGCCACAAAACACCTAAGTGATATGCCCTCAACGAATTCTATGATGACTGATTATATTTATGCCACCAGGACTGTACCCATTAGCGAGGGGCAACACAAAGTAAGCAGGCACCGGCACACTCTGTCCCGACATCCACACAATGCCATGCAACATCATAAGGATAAATTGGCATTGCAGGAAAAAATAAGAATAGAAAATGGTCTTATTACGACAACAACAACGACGACCTCCACAACAACAACAACCCCAAGCAGCGAGTTGGGCGCCATCACACATCCACATCGTAGTTCACAAAGCCTTAATACATTTAGCGATTTGGAAACACCACTAACCGAAATAACAGCCAATACTTTAAGCTCAACCACTAGTAGTTTAATGACAGCCATGCCAACCTTAGCCACAGCCAGTAGCAGCATCAGCACGGGTAGCTCCAGCATTATCCCCAGCACTTCCAACAGCCCCAGCACTTCCACCAGCCATTCGACCACCCGTAAATCGTTACGCAAATCAACGCAAAAACTTTTGGCCACACCATTCCATCAGCTAACCTATGTACGGAATGAGGCTGGCGACATCGATATCGATAGTTTGGATAATATCAGCATGTATCCGGATTTGGAGGATAATGAAAATGGCGATTTTGAACAGCCGGCACATCGAACCACTAGCCGTTTTACCATGATTAGTGGTTATCATCATCCTTCGACATCATCGTCGTCATCATCGGCCACATCAGCGGCCCTGCCTGAATCAATACGTATAGCTAAAATTAAAATTAATCGTGAACGTAAACGTATGTTACGTATGCGTAATATTGGGGCTTATAATGCGTAACTGAGAATGAGGATAGGGGAGCTTTTTTGGGAAATATAAAACTTCGAAAAAATGGAACAAAAGAAATGCTGAGATTAGGACTTTCGTTCTCCCTTCTTTCTAGCGGATTGAGGCAAATTAGTAGAAAACGTAACGTGTGGTATTTAGACCGCGTGGTTATTCCAACAAGTAACGTAAACCTTGTCTTATTATTCGGTTAACTACTTGAGAGAAAATTTTGTAAATCTTGAGGTAAATTTCTTTCTCTCTCCTGCTCCAAATTAGGCAATTGTGATTATTCAGGCAAGTAACGGAATAAAACTACCCGTTACTTGCTTAATAATTTGATGGAAATGTCAGCGCTTAAAGAGGTCTAAATTTAGAAAGAAAAACTGCGATTTCCTGAAGACATTCTATTTCGAATTCCCTAATTTTAAAATTCGTGAAATTCTATTTCTTTAATGACTTCTCTAATCATAATCTGAAATCTCTATTCAAGTAAGCGAAGTTAGTGGAAGATGTAACGTAAAATATACCATATCAAAATGTGGCTCACTAACACCAATTCTAACTAAATTTAAAAATTCTGCAATTTTTTGAAGACACTCTACACAAATATTTCGAATTCTTGTAATTCTAAAATGTCTGAAGATTTGATTCATTGCTGACTTCTCTAATCATAATAGAAATCTCTATTTAAGTGAGCGGAATTAGTGGAAAATGTAACGTAAAATACGCGATGACAAAACGTGGCTTACTAACTCCGATTCTAATGTTCTTCAGTTCGCAGTTTTGCCTTCAGCAAATGTTGTTTTATAATTTTCCGAAGTGTTCCAATTGAGGCAAATTGACATAGAAGTTTAGGGTTATTCCGGCAAGTAACGCAATAAAACTATACACTACTTGTTTAATAATTTTTCAGTTCTTAAATTAAAAAAAAAAAATCTGCGACATTTTGAAGACATTCTTGAGAGATATTTGAAATTTCCTAATTCCAAAATTCGTGAAAATCTACATCTTTAATGAAATCTCTAATCATAACCGGAATCTCCATTTAAGTAAACGAAGTTAGTGAAAGAAGTAACGGAGAGTATATAATAACAACATGCGGCTTATTAACACCGATTCTAATGTTCTTCGGTTCGCGAATTTGCATTCTGTAAATTTTGTGTCATAATTTTCCGAATTGTTCTAATTGAGACCCATTGGCATAGAAATTTGGGGTTATTCCGGCAGGTAACGCAATAAAACTACACATTACTAGGTTAATAATTTGATGCAAATATCAGCACTTAAAGAGACCTAAATTATAAGAGGAAAATTCGGACTTTTTTGAAGACATTCTACCCAGCTTTTTCGGCTTATCTAATTCTAAATTTTCTGAAGATATTTTCATAATAGAAATCTCTATTTAAGTGTGCCCAGTTAGTGGAAGGTGTAACGTAAAATATACCATAATATAATGTGGCTTACTAATTTCGATGTTAATGCTATTCAGTTCGCAGTTTTGCCTTCAGCAAATTTTGTTTTATAATTTTCCGAACTGTTCCAATTGAGGCAAATTGGCATAGAAATTTAGGGTTACTCAGTCAAGTAACGTTATAAAATTATACATTACTTGTCTAATAATTTGATTGAAATGTCAGCTCTTAAAGAGACAAGTTTTGTGATTTTTCGAAGACAATCTACACCGATATTTCCAATGCGAAAATTTGCGAGGATTTGATTCATTAGTGACTTCTTTAATATTAAAATAAATCTTTATTTAAATACGCCAAATTAGTGGAAAATGTAACGTAAAATAGCTAATTCCGATTCTAAAGTTCTTAACTACGCAGTTTTTCCTTCAGCTGATTTTATAATTTTCAGAACTATTGTGTTTTTTTTATATTTAAATAAATTTTCCGAAACTATTTGTGGAAGTTTTTACGTAAAATATTATATAAAAAAAAATCATCAATGACAGTTTTGCCTTCAGCAAATTTTGTTTTATAATTTTCCGAATTGTTTTGGAGTTTTTTATATTTAAATAAATTCAGTTATTGGGAGATGTAACGTAAAACGTATAACCAAACGTAGCATACAAATTTCGATTCTAACGTTCGCAGTTTTTCAGGAATAAATTAGATCAATTGAAAAACAAAAATCATTCAAGAAAAAAATGACTTAAGTCACAGAAATCGTATTTGGAAACGTCTACTAACTCAAGAGCTAAGTACGTAAAGTAAAAAGTTGCACATTCGGCGTTTAGCAATTTCTGTATAGCATGCCAATTTTTTGTGGAGTCACATAACACAAAATATAGTCGTACTTTTTTAAATTCCAGTCCCTTATTATTTGGTCCGACTACGTGCTCCACTAACTAACTCAAGTGCTAATTACGTAAAATAAAAATTTACACAATCGGCGTTAATGAATTTTAGCAAATATAAGTCAATTTTTTGGAGTCACATTTCACAAAATAAAGTCTTACTTGTTTAAATTCTAGTCCTTAATTATTTGGTCCAACTACGTACTCCACTAACTTACTCAAGAGCTAACTACGTAAAGTAAAAAGTTGCACAATCTGCGTTGAAGAGGTTCTGTAAAACAAGTCAATTTTTTTTGTGCAGTCACATAACACAAAATATAGTCTTACTTGTTTAAATTCCAGTCCTTAATTATTTGGTCCAACTACGTACTCCACTAACTAACTCATGAATTAATCACGTAAAATAAAAAAATTTGCCCAGACAGGTTATGAATTTTCGCAACAATAAGTCAATTTTTTGGAGTCGAATGACACAAAATAAAGACTCACTTCTTTAAATTCTTGTCCTTAATTATTTGGTCCGACTACGTACTCCACTAACTTACTCAAGAATTAATCACGTAAAATAAAAACATGCCCAGACGGTGTTAATGAATTTTCGTCAAAATGAGGCATTTTTTGGAATCGCATGACACACTATAAAGTCTCACTTGTTTAAATTCTTGTCCTTAATTATTTGGTCCAACTACGTACTCCACTAACTTAGTCAAATGCTAATCACGTAAAGTAAAAGCTTACACAATCGGCGTTAATGAATTTTCGCAAAAATAAGTCAATTTTTTGGAATCGCATGACACAGAATAAAGTCTTACTTGTTTAAATTCTAGTCTTCATATAAATAAACAACTTGATCATGTCTAGTTACTTAATCACGTAACGTAACGTAAAAATACCACACGTTACCTAATAAATCCACCAAATTGCCTAACTAAAAAAATAGAGAGGAAGAGAGAAGCTTTTCAAGTCAATCAGTATTGATCTTTACGATCTATACAAGTTAGTTGCAAACATATGACGTTATGTTTTTATAGGTTAACCACGTTACGCTACGGTTACGTTACGTTCTCAACTAACTTTGAGACTTAATGTATCAATTACTCAACAAAAACATAACCAAAAAACCAACACACACAAATTTGAGGTATAATTATTTTTTGTATGTATGTAAATAGTCAGTGCTGTTATTAAAATGAAAACAAACAAAAAATAAACAAGGATAAGAGATCCGGGGAAAATATGAATAGAACCGCAAAGAAGAAAAAGTAAGAAAAGGAATATATAAAAAGGCAAAGTTATATATATATGAACCCAAAACAAATAGTATTAGCTAAAACGCAAACAAATAAATAAATAACTATAATTAACTAACAATATATAGTGTATACATATATACATAAATAGTAATAGAAAACTAGTACAATAGCAAATAGTCAAACAAAATCGAATTAATTGCCATACAACAAGAACAACAATAATAACAACCAAATCTAAATAGGACATACAGAAAAGCTATTCTAAAATAAAAACAAATAACAAATGAACTTTATACGAAAGAGTATGGAGGAAGATAGTAAATGAAGAAGAAGACGAACAACAATATGAGTTTAGGACTTGTTTGAAATAATTTAACATTTATGATAACTTAAATATTCCTAGGATAACAAATAAATGTATGCTAAAAGAAGACGCAAATAAGAATGAGAGGAAATGAGCTGAAGAACAACTACAACCAAAAAATAATAATCTCCGAAAAATATCCCATTTGAAATTCTATTGAAATGTATGCCATGCAAAATTATTTACAGAAAAATAGATACATTGTGCTTACGTTCAGGCTACGTTTCACTAACTACAATAAACAATACAAATATTTATTTTCCTTTAACTTGGTTATAACTGACATTTACATAGGACTTTTGTCTGCAAATACAACTCTGGTTTATCATAACATTCAAACATCATCCAATTGTCTTCAAACTGTAATTTCAAACTGTAATTTTTTTCATTAACCGCCAACATGAAAATGTTTGACATTTTCAGATGAAAGAATAAACACGTATTTCAAATAGTAAAAAATTGGACAGAAATAGATTGAATCTTAAAACACCGAAAATTATAATAACAAATATTTTCAATAATAAATTCTGAATTCATTTTTCAAACTAATTTGAATTTTTTTGACAATTACAATTAATTATTAGTCACTTGTAAACGCAGGGTAAATACGGTTTCCCCTTACTGAACGATGTATAATTAGTAACGTAAAATATGGCCACGTTACTATTTGAGTATTAATGTATGTTTGAAATTTAAATCCAAACCCGTTGTAATATGAAGTTTTAATGACATTGTTTTAAATACTAGTTACACATTCTATTTGGCCACGTTACTATTCCACTGATCATACATTTTTTTTATTATAACCAAACTAATTTTTATAATTCTTACTCAAATTTTATTACCATTTTTTAACCTAAATTTTTTTTATCTACAATAAGTTTATTTTTTATAAAAATTCTATGAGAAATGTTATAGCACCAAAATATTAAAAACAAATATTAAAAGTCAACCTTGCTGTCCCTACATTACTGCCGTTGTTACACAAATATAATCGGTTACGCCATCATCCAGTTCACATAATAAACATATGATCAAATACAACACTGGAATTTGTCCAAAGAGGTAAGCATTAAGATGATTTTATTTATAT